CGTTTTAAGCCACTAAATTTGCAGTAACTTTTTTACACAGTAGTAGAAAACTAATACACAAGGGCAGCAAATGAATAATGAATACTGAAAATTATATGACAGATGAAAGTTTTGTTACTATAAAGTGTCCAGGGCTTTACCAGTGTTTATAACTAACCCAAATATATATATAACTATATAACTACTAAGGCATTGCTAGTGTTCATTTGAAATAAACACTTTTTCAAAATTTAATTTCATTTGTTGACCTTGATCTTATTTAATCAGTTTACTTATAAAATGTGTGTTTTAGGGACAACCTACATAGTAGGTATTCCATGTCCTAACAGGACTGCAACATCAGCACTACTGCCAGTCCCGAGCCAATCAAATCATTTCTGAATAGGAGTGACCTTTTCCTCAATATTCCTTCTGTGATATCAGCTACTACAGTCCAAAGTCTACAATGGTGAAAACTGTATGCAAGTATAATCCATTAAAGTTTCTCTGTGAAGGTCAGGCTAGCTCCAGGATCTTTTTCTTCCTCTCAGCAACCTCTAAGTCACTACCTGCACTCTGGCTGTGATTTATTTAAAGGCAGGTACACCCCTCCCATGGAAACACTGATTACAAGTATTATTAACTTCACCATAAACAAAAGTTAAATTTAAAAAAACCCAGAAGTCATTCATCAATAAACATCATGTCAAATATTAGAAAGTTGTTTACATGTCTTTTCCTATTGTCAATCACATATACCTGAAAAGTTAGTAAGAGAAGGAACCATTTGATAGCTACTTCAAGAAAACTGTTCTCTACCTCCCACGCCAACTTCCTTCTCCTCCTTCATTAACCATAGCTGCGATGTGATGAAACTACAGAATCTCAACAGAACTATCAACACAGAAGCAGCAGATTCTGGAATTGAACCATCCTTTCACCTAGGAAGGAACAGAATCACTCAACAGCAGTGATGACCTACTTGTGGAAAAAGAAAGTCTAATATGATCCAACAGAAACTTCAGAAGTTCCAAATGTGTTGAAAGTAAGGATACCACAAAAACAACTTAACAAGAAAGACAGATTCTGACTTAAAGAGCTCAGCATGGAAAGCAAGCTCTTTTGCCCTCCTGAAGAAGGCAACCATCTAAGAAGGCGACTTTCAGGACAAAATCAGTCACCTTGCTATATATGGTCGAGACATTCATTTTGGACAGTAAGCTTGAAAAAGTTTCTATAGAGAGAAATTTACTTCAGAAAGAGTTCCTAGAGAGTTAAGATTATATAGCTCAAATGGTCTTAAGGTTACCTGTTTTTAAAAAGGAGGTATAACAAAAAGAGACGAACTTAGAATGTTCTATTAAGTTCCATGAACAATTCTGAATAAATTTCAAGTTAGTGTCAATTAAACACAATAATTTCATTAAAAGCCTAAAACAGTGAAGAAGTGTTAAGAAGAAATTGCAGAAAATGTTTGGACAATTAAAAACACTTCCCAAATTAACCAGACTTAAACATTAAACTTAAATTATTAAACAGAAAACCAGTAAATATAAACACAGGCATACACACATAATAAAATCATGCCTTTGTTTTGTTGTAAAAGGAAAGCCAAAAG